ATTGGTGCTTGTTTTTTCCTAAGTACTTAATATCCAATTTACTTATGCAAACCCTTACATTAATAATCTACTGGCAATATGCTTCAAGCCATTTCTTTAGAAGTCACTCTGTGATTTCAGCTTTCAGTGAGTTATGTATTGATACATAATCAGGTCCTTGTTCAGATAAATTTAGATTTATAGAGTATAAAGGAAAGACGGGTTTTTATAGAACAGAGTTTTAAATACCACATGTATGTAATTCCATCTCATACTCATTATCAGTAGCTAATTGACAGATGTGAAAATCAAGATACATTTTTCACTGACTAAAATCATCCTATATATGAGGGTAAGTGACACACACCCTCATCACTTTCCTCTTATTTACTCAAACATAAACTGCATTTAAAATCTTCATGTGCTTTTTTGTGTGGAGTTCTTCACAGTTCAGCTTTTAAAGCATACAGCTCCAATCACTTTTCTACTCACCACTGGCTATGCCACATGCCCCAAGTATGGCGTATCTTTCTTCAAGATCATACTCAATGTCCCCTTGACCTTTCAGTGTGGTGGCATACAGCACCCTGAATCTAACACTGTCTAAAGCTGAGCTCATGTAGCCCCTCCCACGGTGTTAACAGAGGTCTCTTTTCCCCTGCTACAGGCTGACAGCTAAAGATATTCAGCCACAGAGACCTCTGAAGTTATAATGCTCCTTACCTTTCCCCTTTCTCACCGTATGCTCAAGCAATTCCTCTAAGTCCTGCTCACTTTCCCTTCTCATCATCTCTGTTTCATTTCCTCCCCCCCTTTAATTTCTCTACTACCTCCACTTGTAAATCAAGGCCGTCATCATTTTAGCGTTAGTACTGCAATAGATTTATAGTTCTTCTTTGAAATTCAGAATTGCTGTAGCCAGAAGAACCTTAAAAACTTGATTCTGAGGATGCCAGGTCATTGCTTGAACATAGGTAAGGTCTGGCTCAATCAAGGGAATGCAACCCATTCAGCTCTATGGTCATTTATGTTTGGCACATAGTAAGTTTGTCATGTTGTCAGAGAATAAGTGACAAGAAACAGAATGAAAAGATTGGTATAATCACTCAAGATGAGCATAAGTTTCTCTGCCATGGATATAAAAATCCTAAATATATGATATCATTTAACACGAGGAGTTTATAATTGATATGACCAGACTTATAAGCTTGGAAGTTAATGAAAATAAATATTTTCTAGCACAGACCACTAATTCAGCAGCTCATTTATTTCTGCATGGGACATGAAAGGGTTCAGAGAAAAGTCATATATATTTTCTCTCTAATAGTCTGCTAGATGTTGGCAGATGAAATAGCCAGTAGAGGGTAGTTCCAGACCAGTCCTCTGGTAAGTATGACTCATGACTGAATACAGCAAATGCCAGAAATGCATAAAAGATGGGGAGTACAAAAGAGGAATGGGTACAGATACGAGATAGGAGCTCAGAGCACATGGAGCCCAGGAACAGGAACGGGAGTAGTAATACCGGAAGGGTAGGGGAAAAATGAGGAATGGAGGGGAGGAAGGGGGAGCTGATCTCGAAGATCTTCACATCACCACCACCACCCCTCCCAGGAGGATGAACAACAGAAACTGGGGGTGGGTGGGGGTGGGTGGGAGACAGTGGTCAGTGTAAGGTATAAAAATAATAATAATTTGTAATTTATCAAGGAGTCACGAGGGTGGGGGTGGAGGAAAGGAGAAAAAAGGGAGCTGATACCAAGGACTCAATAGAAAGTAAAAGTCTAAAAAATAATGATGGCAACAAATACGCTTGATACAGTTGATGTATGGGTTGTTGTAAGAGTTGTATGAGCCCCCAATAAAAGTATCTTCTAATTTAAAAAAAAAATCTTTTTTTATAAACGCAAGAATGAAATGTCTCATTCTAGTTCTGGTTTCCATTGGAAGAGATGAGGAATAGGATATCATACACCCAAGAAATCAAGGAAGGCTTTCGGGGACACGGGCCCTTTTCAGTTTGAAAACTAGTGGCCATCAAGTAGACTCAAGCTCATTGAAACCCCATGAGTCTCAGAACAAAGGTGTTCTTGAGAGGTTTACATGGCTGATTTCTTGTTGGCAGACAGGCAGGGCTTTCTTTTGAAGTGTCTGGTGGTGAGTGGTTATGCATTGGCCTGTTAACCACCAGGTCAGCAGTACAAGGATACCAGCCACCTCTGATGGAGAAAGCGTTTTTACTCCCTTAAGGAGTGACAGTTTTGGAAAAGACAGGGGCAGTTCTCTCTACGTCTGTACGGACTCAATGGCCATGAGCTTGGTTTGGTTTGGACGGTTGATTTAAATTTCCAAACGTTCTGGTAGCTGTCAAGTGTCTTCATAGTTCTAACATCCAGGGACCTTGAAAGTTTTGAGGGCAAATTTATTCAGACAGAAATTGCGTACAGACTAGTCGAAGTGAAAGGCATATTCTGACTGAGGATTAACTTGGCATAATGCCGTTGGCACCATTCTGATGGTTGATCAGAAGCCACAAAGCCTCTACTTGAAACACAGACCTCCTTTATCCTGAGGCGAGGACTAGCTAGTCTCTAGCTATGACTGCCGACTTCTCTGACCAGAGACATAACACATGGTCCCTGTTAGAATGGGAAAAACAGTGTAAAACACAACTCAACTTCTTAAAAACCAAATGAAACAGACTTATTGGACCAGGAGGGTCTCAGAGGAACATCAAAGACCATAGTCCTGAGATCACCCCCTGAGGTCACCTTGCAGCACAATAACAGATTGGATCATGAACTAAACAATATCACCTATGAATAATGTGCTCCTTTAAGACAGCACATGAAGGGTCAAATGGTCACCATTTCCCTTAAAGCAAAAATGAGAAGGTGGTGGCTGTGACCAGGGAAGCCGGATGCACAGAGCTGAGAGGCAGAAAGATTAGGGATAAAGGGGGTCATCTCCACAGAATGCCCAAGCTAAACAAACATTAGCTGGCCATGCCACAATAAAAGGGTTTTGAAAGAAATCAGGCATACCATAGACACCTCAGGGGACAATCCAAAGCTGGGCTTTTGCAGGCCTAGGTCATCTAGACACAGGTGAAGGTCAACCTGGGCACACACACCAGTCCCCAACAACATCGTCACACATGCTCCTAAACCCAGCTATTGAGAACGGTCAATACCCTCAACTATACTTCCCACACACTTCTAATCAGTGAGGATAGGAGGGGATAAATAGCACACACAGCTGGTAGGTCACACTTTCACTCTTGCTCGCTCTTTCATGTCGGAGGGCAAGAGCTCTCTTGTGTGCAGAGGGCAGGCACGCTCCCTCTCAGAGCTTAGTCTTTTTTTCAGTGTGTTGTTTTTCTTTTCTTTTTTTTAATAAAATCATTTTATTGGGGGCTCGTACATCTCTTATCACAATCCATATACACATCCATTGTGTCGAGCACATTTGTACACTTGTTGCCATCATCATTCTCGAAACATTTTCTTTCTACTTGAGCCCTTGGTATCAGCTCCTTTTCCCCCTCCCTCCCTCATGAACCCTTGATAACTTATACATTATTATTATTTTGTCATGTCTTACACTGTCCATCTCCCTTTACCCACTTTTCTGTTGTCCATCCCCCAGGGAGGGGGTTATATGTAGATTATTGTGACCGGTTGCCCCTTTCTCTCCCTACCTTCCCCTTCCCCTCCTGGTATTGCTATTCTCATTATTGGTCCTGAGGGGTTTATCTGTCCTGGATCCCCTGTGTTTCCAGTTCTTAACTGTACCAGTGTACATGCGCTGGTCTGGCCGGATTGGTAAGGTAGAATTGGGATCATGATAGTGGGGGGTGGGGTGGGGGGTGCTATGCTATAGTAGTGGCATTTCATATTGGAAATGAGCAAAGGTAGAATTTGGATCATGATAGAGGAAAGTTGTTATGTTTCATCGGTGCTACACTGCATCCTGACTGGTTCGTCTCCTCCCCGCGACCCTTCAGTAAGGGGGTCTCCAATTGTCTAGAGATGGGCTTTGGGTCCCCACTTCGCACTCCCCCTCATTCACAATGATAAGATTTTTTGTTCGATGCCTGATATCTGATCCCATCGACACCTCGTGATCACACAGGCGGGTGTGCTTCTTCCATGTGGGCTTTGTTGCTTCTGAGCTAGATGGCTCCTTGTTTACCTTCAAGCCTTTAACAGCCCAGACACCCTCTCGTCTTTTTGGGGGTCCAGACTCCCCCCTTTGGTTCGTATGGGCCATTTTTCCATGAGGTTTGTCATGCTCTCCTGAAGTGGCCATTTTCAGTCGCGAACTCTCTCACGGTCCCTGCCATTCGGCCTTGCATGCTTTTCCAGAGAGAGCATGTGCTATGTGAGAATGTATAACCTGACACTTCCCTTTCCCACGTAGAAGTGAACTTGGATTTACAAAAGTGCGTCGCCTGCATGAATTCTTTCAGTGTGGCGAAGCAAGAACCGAAGGAAACCATCCCAGAAACCAACAGAACTAGAACAACCGGAGTGGAAATAATGAGAGTGTTTACACAGTGTGAAAAACACCACTACTGTCACCCATCAACGTGCTCAGCGTTTTACATGGGAACCTCACTTGCTGTGTAAGCTTTCGCCCAAACCATAATTGCTTTTCAAAGGCCTCCCACGGGATGGAAGCAATTGGGACAAGAACAGAGCCCAGGGAAGGCTTGACAGGCTGGGAGACTGAGAGAAGACTACAATGAAAGAGGAGGAGTCACGAGAAAGAGGCTGCCCATCGGAATTCTAGCCCAGTGGTACCAGTGACAGCGGATACCAATGGCACGAAGGGAAAAGAAGTGAGAAGACTCTGGACTTGTGCATTCTGGGAACTTTGGGGGAAAGATGATGGGGACATCTCTGACCCGTCAGGTGTAGAAACCAGCCAGATATTCAGGCATGGCTGGAAATGGACGGATGGGGCGTGGTGTGGTAGAATACGGAAAGCTTAGTAAGACTTTCACGGTCCTACCAAATCGTCTTTAATGACCACGTTGTAAATCCGTAATTCATAAATTTTATCTGAAACACCCTGGGATGTTTCATAAAATTTTCTGATAATTGTATAAATCTTTTAACGTTTCACAAACAATAAATACTCATTCTTTCACATTCGATGTCTACTTAATTAGCAATTACTTTCCATATACAATTTATTCAAGGTTGCTCCGGTCCTGCCTTGTATCCTAGCTGGTGTTTATGTCCTGAACTTACTGCTGAGAAGCCCACAGTCAGGCTCCAGGGGAAATAAGTCTAACTAATGATGCCTTCTTGTTGAGCAAATTATTTCATTTCGAAATTCTATAGCAAAAGAACAATAAAGTATTGGTTCCACTTTTAAATAAATAAGGGGTTATTTTGTTGCTGAAAGTTTTCATTCAAATGACTGATCCGATCTCACATGTCTGTTTAAAACTGCCTGACTCAGGTCGTTACAAAATGACAGACTATGATAAACTAGATGATAGCTGGGAGTGAGACAATGAGGCATTGTTTACACAGAAGATTGAGTAACTGGTTTAACAAAAGAGGTTCCTGGGTATCTATTGCATGTACAACTAAAAGATTTACTGAAGCTTTTATCATTTCTGCAAGGCTCTTTTCCAACCAGCTTCATTAACTTGAAGTAAATCAAATCATGCAGAAATCTGGCTCAGCCAGAAAGCAAACCGAGAAGATACAATATGAAGAAAAACAGACGCGACATGATAAGGTTTAGAATCTTTGGCATTTTTCATAAACATTTTGTGTGAAGATTATTAAATTACAACCTAGAGTTTTAATAGTACAACTCACTATGCAATCAGTTCTCTTCCCTCAACGTTTCTCTGCCTATACATATCTACAAAACTGCACACGTGAAAGTGTGCAATGAAATTGTCTTTGAAACTTAAATAGCGTTTCTATCTGGACAAAACCTGGGTTTTTTTACTTGAGGCGGGTGTTTTACAAGTAGAGGGCTCTGCAGAAGTCAGACAAGATCAAACGAGAGCTTGTGGGTGTAAGTTTCTAGGGGCAGGACTCTGAGATCAATTTTTGTTTTGTATCGTTTCTTTTACCATAAGAGCAAAATCTAATGAATGATACATCTAGACAGGCTAAGTATTTTTTTTTCTTTCCATCCAGAATATTTGGTGAAAGAATTTTATTATAATGAGACGTCAAACATTCACATTTATCTATCCCTAGTCTTAATCTTTATACATACTCTGAGAACTGATCAATACCTTTTCCTATCGCTCTGCTACAGGAGTGGCATTTCATATTGGAAATGAGCAAAACGTAAAGTCGGAAGCAAGGGCCATCATGACTCCCCTCCTTCTCCAAATGGACAATCCTATCGGGCCTTCCTTGGATCAGTGAGGGACTCACCATGTATTTGAACCCAGACACAGCCTTTGACAGAATTTCACCCAAGAGGTCCTCACTGAAACACTTCATGAGATATAATGATTCATCAGAATCATTACATAATTCCAGGAATTATATTAAAAATTATTTTTCTAAAACATACATCCCTTCAACAGTTAATGGGTGGCCAAGAATGGTTAATCAAGAGAAAAATCCTGATGAATAGTCTGAGAGGAGTGTGGGGCTGGGGAGTGGAAATAACTGAATCTTAATGAGAATCTGCTGGAGGTGTGAAAACAAGTTCAAAGTCACTGCCAAATCCAAGTGGTCTCCCTCCTGGCTGTGTTCAGAGCCCCTGCAACCTTGAGCGAGCTCCTATTGGAGATCAGATGTTAGTCTTCCACAGCCCCAGATTGTGTCTCCTTTTGCTGGGCTGACCCTCCTTGCACCTAGGATACTGGTGCGTGCCGAGGTGTGACCATGGGCATGTGTGCACATGTGGAAGTGTACTCACTCATGCATGTGTGCACACGTCTTTGCGTCTGTGTATGTGGAAGACAGGGAGGCTAAGGGGGATCTACACAGCACACATTTCAGACCAACACACACTGACCACTGAGATGATGGTGGTCTAATCAACCAATCACAACATTGGGGGCTGGTTGCCAAAGTCTTTTGCATCCTAGGGAGCGCTGCGCTTCTTGCGAAGGGGGCTCTGGCTGCTGCAGGGTCTCAGTTCTGCATACTGCACCTGTGAAAACAGACAGTCATGAGGCTGGCGGTTAGGTAACCCTAGCTCACCACAGTGTGTGTTAATGGCTCCCCAAGGACGGACCAAGGCAAAGGAAGGAAGGTTCAAAGGTAATGAATCATTTTCTAAACACAGGAACACGGAGGGATTAATTGCAGGAAGGAGTGGAGAAGTCATGCATCATTTCTTGAAACCAAAATATTAAAAGCAGATCTTTCTAATGAGTTGCCTGGGTTTCTACCTGCTCCCAGCACTGTGAGATGGTTTGAGTTTTGCGTATGCCACTTTTCAACCATAAGCAAGCTTAATAACCACCCCCATGGGAATGTTGAGTATACGATACAGTAACTTACTAAAAATTACTTATTTAAAAATATTTAAAATCTTGGGGAACAGTCTGAGCAAATTATATTCATTTATTTTGCCTGAAAGGGAGAAAATGCTGACATTGGTACTGGGCCTCAAACATATAGATTTCTCTTAAACACGAATTTAATTTACAATGTAATGGATAAAACACCGGCGAGCAAAATGAATGCCCTGGCTCTCGCCAGCAGTGGCAAACGCTCTACGGTGTCATTGGAAGTGCTCTGCGCGGTACCGGCCATACAAGGAAGATTCTTCAAGTGCACCCCCTGGCCCTGTCTCTCTTTCTTAGATGCTCTTCTGTTGGGCTTCTTTACGTGTGCACCAACTCCAACTGGGGGGCCACCCTCAGGGCTGGTACCCGGGGAGTAGGGAGGGGGCTTGATGGTTCCCATCCGCCCTTGAAGGATACAGGTGTGACCTCAGTGATGATATGCCACCAACATATAACTTTTGGAGTGTATATTTGTTAGTCTGACAGGGACTGGCTGTATGTAAACAGCTGAGTGACAGGCCACATGCGTACACTATTCTTCACGTTTGTGCCAACACTCCCCGAGTGGTATGCCCCATCACATAAGAGAAGACAAATGAAAAAACACCTTTTCCCCAGAGGACCTTGGGAAGTTCCTCTAGGGGATGGGGGATGGGCTGCATGCCATTCTTCAGTGTAACACAAAGAGGGCCAGGTTGTTAGTTTTTAGAAACCATCTCATGCCAATTGTGAAGGAGTGAGTTGGTGCCTATGACAGGACATCACCCAGGGAAGGTTCAAGCAGCACGGGATCATGGTGCCTGACTTAAAATCCACAAATGCCGTGCTGAACGTGTAGTGGAGGGGAGAGCAATCAACAAGTGCTCAGCCCCGTATCTCTGTAGTGCACCCCAGGGCTCCTGGGGAACCAGTCGTGTTATTGTTGCCTAGAGATGGGGACTGATACTTGATTTGGGGTTGTCTCAGAGAAGGGATGATGTCTCGGATCATTCTGATGCTCCTTCAAGCCACTGCCTCCCATCTGCTCTGATGGAGCAACCCCAGCCTGCCCATCTTCCACTGCATCTATGGCGGCCTGATGTGCAGGCATCGGGACAGGTCACCTTCTGATGGTGCTGTCCTTAGTCCGCAGGACTAAGTGACCATTACCAGTGAGTAATGCTTCGGCTTGACCCTGAATTGTTTCAAGCTGTCTCTGCCTCGGTGTGTGCCAACAGTAACTGGGGCTTTGCCCTCGGCATCTCCAAGATGTAGCGGGAAGAAGGGAGTCTAAGAATAATAGGGGCACAGAATAATAAAACAAACAAAAATAGAATAATCCACTTGTCTTCTATTTCCGCTAAAGTGATTGTCATCTGGAAGAGAAGGACAGTAAGCAATTAGCCCCCACCCCCCAGCTTTGGGCCACCACCCTTCTCCTTGCTGAGCCTATCTTACTCTGTGGGGGCAGCCAAGCCTGCAGAAAGGTGGCAAACACCACCACGTGGTAATCTCATGGTGAGAGTTCCCCATCACCCTTAAGTAGCTCTTTGTCAGCATAATTTTCCCAAACATTTCATGCACTAGACAAAGGTTTTCCTGCCACCTCCCCGCAAGTCAGGCCCGTGTAAGGGTTTCCAAATGAGTTATCTCATTTGCTCGTAGGCCCAGTCTGTGCTTCTGTGGCTCTGGGCTGGCCAAACAGTAGCACTGCCATAGCTGCTGGTGGTGACCTTCATTATGTACCTTTTGAACATCAGATGGTACCCTGGAGAGAAAGTCTAGGAGCTCATTATTGTCGATTGTGTAGGGATTTCGAAGCTTCTTAGTAAATTTATTTATGCCTGAAAAAGAAGAGAAATATGGGAGACTCGCTTGAATGATTGATCAAGCCATCCACCCATCCATCCATCCATCCATCCATCCATCCATCCATCCATCCATCCATTTATTTCTTCATTCATTCACGTATCCTAGAGACTTGCCTGGGTGATGGCAGGGGAGGGGGGTGGGCATTCACAAGTAAAGATTGGTGTGAACACAGTTACTAGACCGCAAGTAACGCACACGTTGCTGTCATGTGGAATCACTCACAAATGCTGTTTCTTGAGGGAAGGACATGGAGACTGTGGACAAGGAGCTTTGCCTCCTTCAGCGGTGAAAATCCCATTACAATCTCAGCAGCAGGGCGCAGAGACACATGCTAAAACTGGGTCGCTCATGGGCTTTTTTAGAATACACTGATTAACAGCCTCCTCCGCTATGAAAACAAGTGTCTCAGATGGGAAAAGGCCTTCATTAGCCCAAACAAGTCCGTACTTGGAGGATCTAGACCACATGCAGCCGGGGGAGGTGGACGGTGGGAGTCTATGCTGTTGTTGTTAGATGAAACTGCAGAAATCAATTCCCCCCAGCCCTCAATTCATTTTCACAGGTTTCTCTCCTCTCACCACGGAGCAGAACTTGACATGCGGATTGTACTTTGATGCGGCAAGGAACTGTGAAACGTCGTTATTGGAAAATTATCGTATGATGGTTGCTACCTTGATTTGTTGACCGCAGTCTTGGGGTGATGGTTTTTCTGAGCACAGTAGCACATGCTAATTTGGAGGGTGGCAATGATCACTAGACAGGGTATGACGTGGATGATGACCAAGTGCTGGAGTGCATCCCACGAAGGGGACCCCCTGCGCCCCTGAGCATGTCCACACGGCACCCATTTCCCCCGTAGAGGACATGTCACACAACCACTTTGTGTCTCATGCTCTGCTCTCTTGTAGCTACCTTTTTTTTAAAACCAAATGTCACCTTTTTCCCTGTTGAGTGTTAGAAGCAGAATGCGTAGGTGGCTGTGAAGCTGTGCAGGCGGGTCCTTGTTAACAAGGATCATTTCTGAAACCCCTTCAGCGGCAGGGGCACAGGATGAAGGCAGAGCCTTGGTGTGCTCTGCGGAGCTCCTACATGGAAGCTAAGAGAGCATTCAGCTGATCTACAGTCAGGAGTACATCAGAGGTCTGATGTTTCGCTTCTTGCAAGAAACCTTATTCAATTTCCATCTAAGGACAGAACTTCCCACATGGCATTATACCGGTCACCATGCCAAGCTCCAGCAACATGGGGAGGGTCAGATTTACACAGACCAGCCCTGACACGGGAGCCCGGCCCTCGTCCATGAGAAACTGGCATGGCGGTTGAGCTAGAAAAGGCTGCCTGTAAAGGACCCCCTTTCCTTTAGTCAGAGCTACACTCGGCTTTTGTCTTCTACACCCACAGCAAGCTGGTTGCTAGTCAAAAATCTAGCCCCTGCCCAAGTCCCTTTCAAGTAAACTACATTCACTGTGCTATTCTAAAGACACTTAATTACAGCGCGGGCTTCTTGGCAAAAGAAAACAGATGAGACAAAACGACGAAGGGAAACAAAGACATATTGAGAAAAGATATATCTTCTATTGTTAATTATATATAGTGTGCGCATCTGGAGTCTTTACAATGCACGGCAAGGCAGGATAATATCACGACTGATCAAAACAGCGCATTCTTAGTCACCGAGAAGATTGGAAACCTGCACAGTCGTTCAAATGTACCAATAAGGGCAAGAGCAGCTCACAATGCACTGAGACTTTGGAAAAACTTAGTTTGGATAAAAATGATCTTGACGATTGCGTGCTTCAGAAGCACACCTATTGTTTAAGGTATTTCAGGCTCCAGTACTTCAGTGATTCTGCAACCTCGTGTAGTGCATACTGTCCAGTGGAGACAAGTGTCGAGAGGAGAGCGTTCAGCCCTGGTCATCTTTAAGGGGCAGTGGGGCAAGGGGAAAAGAACCAGGCTCCTGGAGCAGGAATGCCTGGTTCCAGTCATGGAACCTTCCACAAAGGAGCTGTGGACTCCAGGCTGAAAAGACCTTCCTGTATATTTTCATTGGCTGCGGGGAGAATCATGTGCGCAATATAGGCCAGAGGATTCTATTATCTGAATTTCCACAAGAATGTAGGGGGCTATTATCATTACGACTGATGCTGACAAGGTAGAGAGACAACGGATGTGGCAAAGGAAAGAGTCTTTATACCATCGGGTATGTAATTATATGCCCCCCCATTTCAAAGTCGTGGCTTTATCCAGTAGCACATCATATATAATTTTATTTATTCTAAGTAAAATAGACAGTCATAAAGTATGATCTGCTGTGAAAATCTTTTTCCCCTTTTTCTTCAAAGCATGTAACAAACAAGTGAGATACAAATACTGGTGGGAAACCCCTAGGGAAGATGCTATAATCGAATGATCCTAGATCATGAATTGAATAGGTAAGTGGGGTAGAAGGAAGCCGGCAGGAAGAGTCAACAACTGGAGGAAGTTAGGAGAGAAGGTAGGCATGTGGCTGCTCTGTGAAGATGGCTGGCGTTAAGAGCCATGTGAAACCAATTAGAACATGACTGCCTGGTGATACTTACAGGAGCTGCTGCCACGCAGCCCCCACGGGAGAAGGAGGGCCCTTTCCCTTACATGGTCCTCAAAGACACAGTGTGACTTCAGTGTAAAGGAAAGATGGCGTGCCATTTTCGCGCAAGAAAGTCAAAATCCAGCATGGAGAGTTCACATCGCCTTGCAAAAGTAGAAGAATCTCAGATCTGAACTAAAGTCAATAATGGTCATTAAGATACCTACAAAGAGGAGCAGAATGGAAGGAAGATGGAAGTCTTCTCAAACAGACAGAAAGCCACGGGTGCTCTGATGTAGAATGCTCTGCCTTCTAGGAACTACTTCAAATGAGTAACCCAGCCCTGCAGGAAGTTCACTAACGGAAGCGACTGATGTCCTTCCTAAACATGCTTCTTTGTTAAAAAGAATCACCTCTTAAAACAAGTGGAACTTCCAATGCAGTGTTATCCAGGTAGATTGTAGGTATTAAAGATTCATAAAGATATTGGTCAAGTCTTCATGAAGTACCTTACTTCTCTCTCTATATATGGGTGGATGGGTATTTAAATCAATCAGTCCATCTATTTATCAAAATGAGAAATTAAGGAAAGAAAGCACCTTACTCTTCACTACCTCACACTGAGGTTAGTTCATCCAAGACTATTATGCTCATGATACCATGAGGGCGTCCCGCGTGTTTACGTCAAATGATTCTTACCATAAAAATAATTCATGCAAATATATTGCCAGGATGCACAGTGAATGATACAGAAGATAAAGTTAAATAGGTTTGCTCAAAAAGAGTGAAAGCTTGGGACAAGTAATTCTAGGATCTCATGTACAACTTTAGAGATGAGGAGATGGCTTACGATGGGCAACGTTTCTCTAATTTTTATGCAAGTGAAGAGGAACACTATCAACTTCAGCCTCATGTGCTCTGATCCAGAATGCTCTGCTTTCAGGGAGACTCGGCTTCAGTTAAATAACCCAACCCTGTAGGACATTTACTAAAGGACACTAAAGATGTCCTTTTTTTTTTTTTTTAAACATTTTATTAGGGGCTCATACAACTGTTATCCCAATCCATACACACACCAATTGTGTAAAGCGCATTTGTACATCGTTTCTCAAAACGTTTTCTCTCCACTTAAACCCCCGAAGATGTTCTTCTTAAACCTGCTTCTTAGTTAAAATGAAGGAATCTCTGAAAGCAAGTGGAAGTTCTAATACAAAGTTATCCAAGTAGATTATAGGTATTAAAGACTCACAAAAATATTTGTTAAGTCCTCACTAAGGACTTGATATGGATGGGTATTTAAATCAATCAATTTATATTTTTACTATCTTTTTATTCTATTTATTTATCTATTTATTCTACTACATGAGAAAGTCTCTGTACAGGATACAATAATAAAATGTGCAGAAGAATGTTCTGGATTCATATGAGGTAATAACATACTTACCTCAGAAAAGAATGAATACTAATAAAATTGTAGAACATGTTCCATAATGACATGGCAGTTATATATGATGAGATAAAACAACAGACCATACTGAACTATATTGTCTATGGTAATGTCATAAGCAATTGTAAAATTTTGCCTAGAATACAAAAACCAAAGAATCACACACAAAGTATAAAGCTCAAAGAATCAATATTGACCCATGATAGCATAATAAATCCCGTATTGTTTAATCATTTCATCCATAAACAGAGTGAAAAACAGAGCAACGTATTATTATGAACCCACTCCTAGAGAGTCAATTCCAACTCACAGCCACTCTCTATGGGTTTTCTGAAGCTGTAAATCTGACTAGGAGCAGACAGCCTCATGTTTCTCCCACTGAGTGGCTGGTGGGCTTGAACTGCCAACATTGCAGTCCAATGTCTACCCAATAGCACTACCAGAGCCCCTTAAGTAGATGAAAAAAGTTGACATTGGGAAGCGAGGGTCTTGGAGGATATGATCAGATGTCAAAATGATTTGGATAAACAGGAGAAGGGGTTGAATCCCCAAATTGTCAGTCGAAGGAGGGAAAACAGTATAGTATACTTTGTGGCAAAAAAGATGCATAAAAGAACATGAAATATAAATTCATCATGAGGCATTCTACCTAACAAATCAGATTAGACCAGAGCATGCACACTGCTACCGATAAGAGCCCGCAACACAGGGAATAGATAAACCCTTCAGGGCCAACAATGAGAGTAGAGATACCAGGAGGATTAGGGGTGGGAGTGGGGGGGGGGATCAATCACAAGGATCAGCTAGAACCCCCTCCCAGGGGGACAAATAATGGAAAGTGGGTGAGGGGTGACAGAGGATAATGTAAGATATGGAAAAATTTATCTATAACTTTTCAAGGGTTTGTGAGGGTGGGTGGGCAAGGGAGGGAGCGGGAAGAAATGGGGAGCTGATATCAGGGGTTCAAGTGGGAAGAGAATGCTTTGAAAATGATGATGGTGGCATATATGCAAATGTGCTTGACACACTGGCTGGAAGATTGTGAATGGATGGATTGTGATAAGAGATGTAAGAACCCCTAACAAAAGTATTCAAAAAACTATTCCAAGATATATTTCCTAAATATATCTTGGAATATTTTCTAATATATCTTGAAATATATATACTCATATCTGAAAAAAAAAATAATCATGAGGCAAGAGTAATTACTGAGCTGAACATAGTCGTCAATGTGTACAAACTTAAAAATGGCTAAAGGATTATAATTTTGAATCATGTTAAAATTGCAGTCTGTCTCTGATATTTTGTATTCCAAATATAATCAATGAATGAATTTTGGAATAAAGATATATGACAGGAAAATGAAAAAGATAGCACATATGTCACTCTAGGTGACTAATAGGCACCTCACCCAAGTCATGGCATTTCCAGTTGCCTCATATGCATGAGAAAGCAAAACAAGGAATAAGGTGGAGAGCAGAAGAATGGATCCATGGGGATTATGGTGCTGATGAAGAATACTGGTAGTCACATGGGTGGCTAGAAAAACAAGCAAGTCCTGAGTTAGAGAAAGCACTGGCAAAGTGCTCCTGAGAAGTGAGGGTGCTCTTACTTGGTCTCATGTACGCCTATGTTATTAGAAAAGAGTGGTCCTTAGAAAGGCGATCGTGCGTGGGAAAGCAGAGGGTCAGAGGAATGTGAGAAAGCCTGCAAGGAGGGGAAAACTGGGTGCAACAATGGGCTCAAATATAACAATAGCTGTGAGGAGTAGACAGGAGGGATCACTCTCTCCCTTGCTGTGTTAAGGGTGGTGCACAGCTGGCTAGGAGCTGCAGCCTACTTCGTAGTAACCACCACCGCCAATATTCAACCTGTACAGACACTGTTGACTATATTATGGCATTCAGGGATAGAGTACAGCAAACTGTTTTCTTAATCAACAGGCCCTGAAGAGTCCCATCCATTCTTTTGATCATCTATGTACCGATATGCAATTTGTTGTAAAAAAAAGAAACGGAAGCAAATACAAGTGGTATGAGAAGAGTTTTCCCAACACAGGCAGTCCCTATGTTCTAGACGTCCAACTTATAGACAGCTCCTATTGGCCTTTAAGCAGGGCTTCCAATTCTGTCTCTCCTAGATAAAAGCAAAATAGTAACAGATCTGAATTTTTACAATTTGGGTGATTGTACATGGTAATCAAAAGGGAAAAAAAAATTGGTTGAAGGCCTGGAATGAGAGACTTTGAAGAGACAGGGCGAGCCCTCTCAGGAGGCTGGTGTGTGGAATTGGATTTCTGGAGAACCACACACATTCAAGGTTGCGGTCAGCCACCATCTTTGAGCAATGCATCACTTTGAGGGAGGCCGCAGTCTTTCAGCTCAAGGTGTAGTTTATGCCATTGTGCTTTCATTGTGAGGCAACTGAACCAACCCCGACTACAAACACATTCTTGATCACAATCACCTTAATGTGCAACTTTGAAATGGTTGAAAAAGGTTCTGGCCTTTTCTGGCACTACAGTAAGACTAAGAACAACATTCAGAAGAAGTAAATAAAGAGCTAAAAGAAGCACCATACGCACCTGGTCCAATGGACCTGTAAAGTTTTAAAGTCATACTTGGGAACTGATTGTATCTATTACCCTGGGACTGCCTGTGGGGAGGTTCATTAACTACTGGACATCACCCAGGAAGGTGAGTAGATAGTCTGTTTTTCTTTCTTTGTGTTATAGAGAGAGGCTTCTTTATGTGGAACTTTCCCCTGCCAGACAAAACTGAGAGTGAAGGGGTTCAACGCCCTCCCATTGATCCCACTTCTGTTTGTGAGAGGATTGTATCCTCTCACTGTACTTATTCAAGCTGTATGCAGAGCGAACATCTAAGGAGTTGGGACTATGAAGAAGGACCTGGTAGCAGGCTTGGATATGCAGATGACACCACTCTGCTTGCTGAAAGTGAGCAGGCCTTTACACTTGCTGATGAAGATCAAGGGCTGCTACTTTCAACATGGGTTACAATTCAATGGAGAGGGGCAAAAAAGGTCCTCACAACTGGCCCAATGGGTGACAACATGATACATGGAGATAAGACTGGAGTTGTCAAGAATTTCATCTTGTTTGGATCCACAACCAATCCTCATGGATGCAGGAGATCAAAAGCTGCATTGCATTGGGTAAATTTGCAGCCCAAGACCTCTTTAAAGCGCTGAAAAGCAAAGCTCTTACTTGGAGAACTAAGGTACGACTGACCCATGCTATGGTGCAATCACCTCACATGCACCCAAAAGTTGAATAAGGGAGAGCACAGAAGTATCCATGTATTTGCATTGTGGTAAAGAATATAGAAAGCACGACAGACTGGCTAAAGGACAAACATATTGGCCATGGAAGAAACCCAGCCCGAATGCTTCTTAGAAGGGAGGACGGTGAGCCTTTGTCTTGCTTCCTGTGAAGGTGGTATCAGGAGATACCATTCCTCGAAAATGATATCATGTTTGGTAAAGTAGAAGGGCAGTGAAAAAGGAGAGCCCTAAAAAGATGGATTGACACCAAGAGATGGACTGACCCACTAGCTACAACAATGGGGTCGAACATAGCAACCATCGTGAGGATGGAGCAGGGTTGCTATGCGTGAGAACCAACTCAAAGGCACCGAACCACGAACACAACATGGGTTCCCGTCACCGTGTCATGCCTGAGAATAACCAGCGCCGCCTTTCCTGTCACCAGAGTTCTATCGTCGTGGATTTTCCTTGAAAAGGTCTCTATTGAAGGGAAAGGGGTAGTGGATTATGTATTTAGGTGCTAACACAATGGTCAGGAGTTTGAAACTACCAGCTTCTCTCAGGGAGAAAAATGAGGTATTCTATTCCCATAAAGGTTTACAGTCTTGGAAAGCCACAGAGACAGTTCCATGCTGTTCTATAACGGCACTCTGAGTCATGACTGACTAGATGGGAGTGGGTTTGAACCTTGAATGGAAGAGCCCTAGGGGTCCAGTGGGTTAACTGATAGGCCGGTAACCTAAAGGCAGGTTTGAACTCACCAGCCGCCCCTGGGGAGAGAGATGAAGCTGTTTTCTTTGTAAAGATATACACCCTCAAAAACTTTACAGAGCAATTCTAATCTGTACCACAGATTAGAATTTGACTCACTGTCATTGAGTCAAAATAAACAATGACAATGAGTACATTTCATGGTTATGGAAAGATTGCTGCTTTTCATCAGCATTTCCAAGCTTTCTGCTTTCATATAACAGATTATCTTAAGGTGAATGCCAACTTTTACGAATATCTCAACATTTGAAGATCCCTAAAGGTGTCGCGGTTGAGAACTCAGCAGTCATGTGACTAAGTTATCATACAAACTAAGTAATGGAAAGTCAGGACTGACAGAACCTTCTGGAAAAGGGCTGACTTCTTCTACTGCAGTGCACTCTCTTTATATTATGCATCCCCCACACCAACCACTTATCCTTAGACAGACATAGATAGTCACAAAGATGTTGTTCTTTTAATTCAACTGCGAACTAATGCTATGTATTACATGACGTTGGGACATTTTTGTGCTAACTTTTAAAAACAGATACACTTTGTAGAGGTACACCATTTCCCTTGGGAATAATACCTTCCTCTTCTCCAGGGTTCTGGTCCCAGGGTCCTTGAGTCCTCCCTTCCTTTTCCCACCACTGCTTCTGGGTTTAAGGACTGGGTCATGTAACTATTATGTTTTCCCCTTCCTCCGGGAGAGTTGACAATGTCAGGAGTAACCTGGCCTGGGCAAAACCTCCTTAATGTAAGGGGAAAGATGCAGGGGTTTGCTCATTGAAGAGCAACTGCATCTTCTGAAAGTTATTGGGCCACAGCAATGTATTTTCCAGGGTATTTCTAACCATGAAGGCCCCAAGGGAAACCACATACACAAACATCTTTTTATTTAGCACAATTATGCAAGAGTTATAAAAATATCTATGCTGATCTTTCACCCAAACTGGCCTTTTCTGGGAGGTCTTGGCTGTTTTTGTTCCTCAAATATTTGCTAGAGCTCATGCTTAATTGCCAACAAGGACCTATTTAAAGTTTATTTCACACTTTAAAAATAAGCGTTTGCTTCTTACCTGCAATACTTTGCTAGCAACGGAACCGTGTCAAACTTACCCCAGATTAAAACGATGCACCGCAGAGGGATGAAATACAAAGTGATGGTGGTGACCACCAGGATCAAGCAGGCCAGGAATGAAAGGAACGGGACAGTCCAGTTGAATGTGCTGCAGGCAAACCACATAAATATCAATTCCTCCTGCCCAAGAACGGCCACAGTCATCTTGCCACATTTATTTCTTAGTTTGATGAATGAAATGACCCATTGGAAAAGCTTCTTCTAAAACCAGGCGATAAAAGTCTAAGCTAAACTGATGGAGCACTGGAAACAACACTCTTTTAAAAAAATTTCATTGCATACTTTTATTGGGGGCTCTTACAGTTCTTAACACAGCCCGTACATTCATCCATTGTGTCAAGCACGTTTGTACAAACGTTGCCATGATTATTTTCAAAGCATTTTCTTTCTACTTGAACCCTTGGCATCAGCTCAAGTTTTTTTTCTTCTTAAGGAGACAATGCTTCTTCTTAAGGAGCATTCAAATGGTCTGAATGTTGGTGAATTCTGGAAAGGGAAGTTCTTAAAACTTCAGCTTGTAAAAGTTATTAGAAACTGCAACATTGCCATGGTGGCTCTGTGCACAGCAGTCTTTACAACTAATAATCAGGTCCCTAATATTTCTCTCTCATTTAGCACAGTTACCAATAAAGATTTAGAAAAGGGGAGATATTGCTATAGGGCTGTGATGTTTTCCCATGACTTGTATTTAGAACTTCTCAACAGACGTACTGTGGAAAGCTAACAGCGTCTTGAACTGGGAGAGAAACCTTTACCCCTCATTGACAGATAATATGGATGGTTTTACCATACAATATTTTATCTCCAGTCTTAGCTCCTCCCACCCAATCTATGGCTTGCTGTGCCTTGGGTGGACTTGAAGGTCTAGAACATAGGGGTGGGACATGGGTTTGAATGCACTGGGAACATCTTTGTAACCGTTCTGGAAAAACACTGTGCAAATCCAAAGTCCTGTTAAGGACATGTAAGTGCACGGAGCACTGATTTTCATTTTCCCTCAGATCTCTGTGTGCTGACCCTGTCCACTGCGCTACAAATGAAAAGAGGTGAAGCCTTTGTTCCTGTTGTCTTCTAGGACATTTTTGTGTGGGTGGAAACATTGAGGAACATTAGGAAGTGTTGCAAATAGGTCACTTTGTGGAGTAAGGTGAGCCTTCTCCAAGTCAGGTTACTTTCAGTCACTTCATACATACGCGAAAGTTGGACAATAAATAAGGAAAGTGGGAAATTTGTGCTTTCGAATTAGGGTGTTGGCAAGTCATATCAAATGTTCTATTAAACGAACTGGCAAATTTGTCATGGAAGAAGTAACACCAGGAGGCAAGATGTAAACGTGAGGATGGCAAGATGTCATCTCATGTATTTGGGACCCGTGGGACCAGTCCTTGAGGAAGAACATCGCATTTGATAAAGTAGAGGTATAATGAGAAAGAGATGGATTGATGCAGTGTCTGAACACAGGCCTGGCCAGGAGCATGACACAGGACAAGACAGAGCTGTGTTCAATTATTCATAGGTTCACTGCAGGTTGGACCTGACTAGATGGCCTCTAATAACATATACCAGTTATTTGATAGTTAATATACATAGCACAGACTGTGATAACATTTGTCATTAAAATAATTTCGCCAAGTAAAATGATACAGATGAATAAATTGAGGCGGAGAGAGCTACTCTCACTAATGTTAATCATCACAATTCCATTAACAGTAGCAGAATGCCTGTGACCTCACCTGCTTGGAAAAACTATGTCTTATCATTAATTTTAATTATTTCAATTTTTTTTGGTGATTTTTACAAGATCAACACTCAAAAAAATAAGCGTGGTTGGAGAACAATGCAAGCCATTGGGAGGTCTGATGAGTTGTTGACTGCAAAAATCATGATCTGATCTGCAAGATCTAATTCACAAGAAAAAGCTCAAAAAGATCAGTCCTCAGATTGCTTTACGCCAAAGAGATAACCCTGAAAAGAAAATATGGAAAGCAAGACCATGTACATGAACTCTAAAGAGATAGAAATGCTAGCCAGAGATACAAAAGACACGAGAAGGAAAGCACAACACACTGCTGGGGGAGACTGAGGGACTGATGACAAGCCTCACAGCGAGACCCTCCATGCTCATAATACAGGTTTGCAAAGCTGGCTCCAGTAGGGGAAGGCCCTGACAGCTATGATATATAAATGCATCTTAATGCACAGTCTCATGACTGAACGCAGTCCTCCAATAACCCCCCATAAGGAATTGTCATGAAGGAGCTACCATCAAAGATGTTTCATACCTGCATCTGGCTATTCACTGTGGCTGAAGGTTATCTGTAGATAAGAGTAATCAGATACGAGGTCCTGTCCCATCCTAAAGCGTAGCAAACCCTCCTCTGACCTCACTTTCTGATACAGATCATAGATTGCTCCCCTGGAAAAGGTGCAGGTCGAGAAGCTGACTCACTTCATTACCTGTTCATTATGTTACTCATTTATATTACCCATTTACTATGTTACATATTCACTATGGGATGTGCACACTTTTGGAAAGATTTGTCAATTCCACGATTATATATCCTGTTGAAAGATATATTTGCTCTCTCTCTTGAGCTTGACATAAGGACAAGGAGCCCCTGTGCCCCTTGTCTTTATTATTTTCCATAATTGCAACGTCGCACCAAAGGACTGCTGGGGGCTGGTACCCCGACAACTGGTAGAACTCTTAGAACCTAAGAGTCCGACATGAATGGAAGAGCAAACTAAACTCATGGATAGGGACGTTTAACACCATCGACATGTTAACACTACCCAAAGTTATATAGATCCAATGCAATCTCAATCCAGAGTCCATCGGCATCCTTTCAGGAGATAATAAAATGAAACAAGAACCAGTCCTTAACCTTACGTGGAAAAGAAAGACACCACAGATGAGCACTGCTCTAGGAGAACAAGACAGGTGTCACAGTTACTGTCCTGGATTTCAAAACACACTGCACAGGTATGGTAGTCAAAACAGTCTGGTGCTGGCACATGGCAGACACAAAGAACAACAGAACAGAACTGAAAATCCAGAAGGAAACAAACAACCAAAAAACCAACCATCTACCTCTGGCCATCTGAAATTTGAAAAAAGGGCTGAAATCCATTAGACTGAGATATGAGTTTCTTTAACAAATGGTGCTTGAAAATCATCTATCCATTTGTAAAACAAGGTGGAAAAAAGAAACTCGACCTACATATACAATATACACAAAAACTAATTCAGGAAGATCAAAGACCTACATATAAAACTTGAAACTATAAAGGTCACCAAAACAGGGGCAAAGTTAGCAGCCATAATTATGGCATGAATAACCTATAAAACATAACCAAAACTGCAGACACAGTAGCAGATAAATTAGATGACTGGGGCTTTCTAAAAAGTCAACACTTTCTTGCATGGAAAGACTTCTCAAAAGAGTTAAATAGTACCTCAGCCTGGGAACCAAAATACTTATCAAAGATATGTCTGAAAAAGGGGCAATCTACAAAATGCACAGAACAATTCCACTTCTCAACCAAAAGACAAACAATCGAATTAATAACCACACAGAGAACATCAACAGACACTTCACCAAAGGAGATATTCAGTGGGTCAGGAAACAGAAGTCTAGTGATCACTAGCCATCAGAGAGACGCAGATCCAACAATGAATCGATGTGATCTCATCGCAGCAATAACAGAAAAGTGTAATAAGACAAAACGAAAATCCTGGTGACAGTCTGGAGGGATCATAACGCTCAGACACTGCAACCACTTGGAACACATGAAAGCGCTTCCTTAAAACTTTGGAAATAGAGCTATTACTTCTTCCAGCAATCACAAGACTCGGTAGACATGCTAAAGAAAAAAAGCTGGATCACGGACATGTAGCTGTACACTCCTGTCCATTGCAGTCAGAATGTTCCTGGCAGAGAGGAAGCTGGGCCTTGGTCTTACATCACTGACAGGCTATCTGGAGGGACCAGTCTGCGGCAGAAGACAACAGCCAGAGACCCTCAACAAGACGTACTGACACAGTGGCTTCTACAATGGGCCCCCACACCAGTAACTGGGCGGAGGGTGCAGGCCTGTGCAGTGTGTGGTTCTGCTGTACACAGGGCTGCTGTGACTGCTAACTACCTGATGGCGGCACCTAACAACAGCCAGAACCATGCTCGATGCAGCATTCTTTAAGGAAACACCTTCTCACTCGCTGCCATCGGGCCAATGTCAGCTCACTAGCATACAAAAGGGTAGAACAACCCCCTTCTCATCTCCAAAGCTGGAACTCTTCATGGGAGTAGAACGTCCCATCTGGTTTCGAACTAACAGCTTTTGAGATCGCAGCCAACGCACAGCCACTGTGCCCACAGGTCTCCTGGAAACAATCTAGTGCCCAACGATGGGTAAATAAACTAAGAATTGTACAGGCAATGGAAGCTAGGCCACTTTGAGTAATAATGGACAATTCGAAAAAGACCCTAAGATGGGGATGGGCATTGGGGCCTGGTGACCTACTGCTGAAGAAGTCACCTTTGATAGCCCTGTGCGACCCACTCCTGCCCTCAGCTCCAGGGGGGTCGTCCACTGAACAGCAACTTGTTGCTTTCTTTGAAGCAAATAAGCACCACTTTCCTCCCAGTCTTAACATGTAACTCTTCATGTTTCCATTCATTTCTACATACACGTAGGTCCACTCCTGCCCTTCTGGAAATTTCTGGAGGGCTTTTTTTCACCAAGTATAGACATATGATATGGGCATCACAACGGCCTCAGATATGAATTTTAACTTTTGGATTCCCTTGAATAAGGAGGCAACCACACTACCTGGATATTCTTTTGTAATAATTAAAAGAAGGAAACAGCATCAAGTGGAAAGCATATAAATAAATGATGCTCTGCCATACTATAAAGCAAACCAAACTCGCTACCATTGAGTCACCGTTGACTCATAGTGGCCCCCTGTGGTTTTCCCGGACTGTAACTGTTGACTGGGGGTAGAAAGTCCAGATTTTCTTCAGTGGAGGCGCTGGCTTTAAACGGTGGAGCATGAGGATCGCAGCCCAACATGTAACCACCATACCACCAGGCTCCTTAATATGCACACTGACTGCCACACCATATACCTGTTAGAAGGAATGGGAATACAACACGAATACCCACACATACTCACATCCCTCTGAAAACAGAGTTTTGACGGTAACTACAGTGAAAACTAAATTATAGAAATAAATGCATATGTGTACATATGCATATGATTATTAACATATTTAAATATGTTTAAATACCACACAGATAGGCCTTTACACAGAAAGATAAAATTAAGATATACTTCAAACTCTGAGTGTTCAAACAAAGAGAGAGGCAGACAGAGAGAAGGGGAAGGCTTTGTTTTATTTAGGAACCCTAAAGGTAGAGTGGTTACATGCTGCGCTGGGATCTACATGGTTGCCAGTTCGAAACCACCAGCAGCAGCTCTGAGGGAGAAAACTGGGCTTTCTTCTCCCACAAACAGTTCCAGTCTCAGAAACCTACTGGCGGTCACTAGGAATCAGCATTGACTCAATGGCAGTGAGTTTGTTTGGGGGATTTTGCTTTCATTTGCTGTGCTTGATTTTTTAAGTAACAGTGTCTTATTTGACATGAAAAGAGAAAAAATACACAACAAAACGAATCAACTGAAATAAACACACCAATCAAGGTAGATGTGGCAGTTACATAATCTCCGGTCAGCTTGAGTGAAGGAGTGGAGTCTAGCCTGCCAATTAGGTCAAAGCCAATAACGCCCTGTGTGGGCAGAGCCTTCTCCTGAAGATCCTGGGAACTTCTATCTTCCTCCTTGGAGGTGGCCCACACGGTCTCTCTGCTTCCCATTCTGTTGACAAGCCACATGAAGCCAGAGCCCTGAGGCAGAAGGAGTCATATGGAGAGCCCCACCCACACTAAGCTGCTTCCACAAGACTTTTTACCCACCAGCCTAGGATCTTGGTTTCAGCGTCATTGCCCGTGCTGCGTGTGTCTATAGAAGAATTTATGGACGAGTATCAAACATAGGGGCTAAAATCAGACTTGCGGGCTAATATTGAACATAAGGACTTGATCTGGACTGGGCCAGGATGCTTTCATAACATCTAATTACTCTTGGGTAAAAAGCTCTCTAATAGACATGTGACTGTTTCTAGATTGTTTCTCTAGTCAACCCAGACTAACACATTAGGGTACCATGGGAGTGGGGCACTAGAGAAACCAATCCTGACAATGAAGAGTGGATGCTTGTTTGATCTCTGCCTCGGGGTAGGTTTTCTCTTGGGCTAGCCAGGGTCAGATACGGCTGGCAGTTTACTGTTGTTTTCGGAAAGAATATGAGAAGTTAAAGCTTAGATTCCTTTCTTTGGTTCTCTATGGTGATTCCTGTTTGAAATGGCAAAAATGAATATGATAAATGTATATTTTGAGATCAGAGGGCGAAATAGCTCCTTGAATTTCTCAGAGACCACGCTGCTCAGTGAAAACGGCTGACAGAATGGCCTGGCTTGATGAGTCAGAGTCCTAAGACCATATTTTGTATCAATGGAAAAGCTCAGATAAGGTTTAAGAGAAAACAGATAAGGATTGAACTTGACTGTTTTAAGAATTGAGCTTAGGATCTGGCTGTATTAGGTTTATACTAACTTCCTTCGACTACTGTTATTGATCTAATGGTTGATAGAAATGATTATTGAGAAGTACAGAGAGTTTGTAAGCTCACTGTTTCAGCTACCAATTTGAATCTTTAAATGGGTGTAGGCCAGACCTGCAAAGAAGGCTCTGACTCATAGCAACCCCGTCTGGGTTTCCAAGACACAACTGTTTAAGGGAGTAGAAAGTCCAGTCTTTCTCCCTTGGCAATGCTGATGGTTTTGACCTGCCGGCCATGTGGATGACAGCACAATGTGTAACCCCTACACCACCAGGGCTCCCTGTCCTTCTAGGTTGATCTAATTCTCTAACTCCCCAACTGCACACTATTTGAAGCCACCACTCCCTAGTAATAGAGCATCTAATTTAGATCTCAGTTCTTCCCTGTTCCATCTGTTGGTTCCTATTTTTAGCTGCATTCCAGTCAGCCCAGGCGCCTGTGGACTCCATGCACAAAGGCAGAGACGCAGCCAGCTCCTGCGCCGCCCCCACGATCAGTTTTGGATTGGAACATTGCAAACCAGAGTTTTGGCTGGCTAAATATCAAAAGTATCACCAAGCTTTTATCTTAGTCTGGAAGCTCCATTGAAATCCGCTCAGCATCACCGCAACAGGCAAGTGTGCACGGACAGACTGTTGAGGATGATGCACTGTACGTGAGGGGCACTGGCTAGAACAGCGCCCGAGTCTCCTGCATGAAATGTGAGGATTCTACCACCGGGTCACCAATGCTTATGTATTCCTAGTATCAGATAAATGCTACAATGATGAACAAATGTTTCAAGCTGACATATACAGACATTTGAAATATGCTTAATACTAGAGATGGCAAAGTAGGAAAAAGGTAATACAATTCAATCTATGTCAGGGTGTCTTGTATTTTGAAGGTTTTATTTAAGTCCATTTCCTGAAGGACACAGCTTCCCCCGGTTCTCCAGCTCTAAATAACAAGAGAATTCCAGCAGAGTTACACATGACCTCCCTCTTGAATGCCCACAAGGAACTTGAAGGTCACTGCAATCATGAATGGCCAAAGAATTAATAAGAGTTGAGCCTCGTGAGCCTTCCTGTATTGCAGCTGGGCAGAACAGTACTCTGTTCATGGGTGGAAAACACAGCTCAGTCATGGCCACCACAGCTGGGCTGGGCACAGCCGCCCCCAGTACTTTACAGCACTGGAGGCCTGTTTGAATGGCTGTCCTCTCATCTCATCAGGCACATGTCCTTTACCATCATCAACTGCACAGCAGCTGCGTTTTCCTACTAGAGCAGCGGTTCTCAACCTTCCTAATGCCGCGACCCCTTAGTACAGTTCCTCATGTTGTGGTGACCACCCCTCCATCCATAAAATTATTTCCAATGCTACTTCATAACTGTAATTTTGCTACAGTTATGAAT